GCAAGTTTGGGCTCATCTGTTCAATTCAATGTTATTCTGTCCATTTTCACAGAAAAAAAAAATCCCATTTTTCATTTCATTGTTCAAAACCATCTTCTATGCAATAAGTACATGGAAATAATTGCAATGAACCACAATTCAGGCATGAATTAATGAATGCAATGAAGCATGCACTCAAGCATTATTGAACGAATACCTGGGACTAATGATACTCTGAAACTGAGAAGACAGTTGTGTAAACTGACCTAAATAGTGGCCCGAAAAACCTAAGAATGATTTTGCTTGGTTGGTTGGGTCTTAACCAAGTCAAAGTAGTGTTCATGGTAGAGAAAGTGTTTTCAAAAATACACAAGACTTGGAGAAAATGATAAATATCTCTTTTTTTTGTTGTTACTGCATTTCAACAGTTTTGCTCTCTATACAAACCCAAAGACTAATGTGGCAACTCCTTGGTCCTGCTGTCCTGCTCAGCATCCTCAGGAAGGTGAATGCTTTGCTCTCTCTGGAGGTGATGGTTTCACTCACAGGCTTATTTTGCCAACAGCTCATACTACAGAGTGCCAGAAGGACTTTCCTGGATATCCAGAAAAAAGAAATGTATTCTTTGAACTGTGAGCACAGAGCTTGAGAGCATAGATATAATGACCCTGATGCCGCTCCCTGGCTAAGATGTACAGCTGGAGATGGCCCCAGGAGCACCTCGTAACAATGGCTGGTGTCAGAAGTTCAGGGAAAGGTTTCCACTGAAGCTCTCAGGATTCTTCCCAGCTCAGCAGGTAGGCTTATGAAGATGGTGTGGTCACTCCGGTGCTGTAGTACCACTGATCTGAGCACACAGTGATTTTATCCAGAGATGCTCTAACTGCGAAAAGCTGTTGTCTTCAGTGTGGCTCTACTCTTTGTGCCGAGCAAGTAGCAGCATCTGGCCTATCTTTTGATAGTTCAAAGTGTGTGAAACACGAGTACACGTCACCATCTACGCACAGACAGAAAATAATTATGGGACATAAGAATTTAATAGCATAAAAATAAATTCAGTTTCAGTCTGGAAGATTAAACTCTGCAGTCCAGGTTATGAAACAGGTTTCCCTGGAAACTTGTTGGCTCCTGCTTTGCAATTCCTGAACCGAAGTTAAGCGTGTGATTTCCCAGCTTCTTAACTGGAAAGAGTCACGCATCCAGGCACAGGACATACAGTTGCCAACAGGGGTGCAAGAAAAGGGGATGCCTGAAACCTCGCTTTGTGCTCAGCGCCCCACAGTGCACAAGGACGTGATGCTGCGTGCTGCTGCCTCAGGTCTGTCTGCTCTCCGTGCTCGGGAAGCAGACAAGCAAGCACAAAGATTTTTCAGTCTGGCAAGAACCTGACAGATTTTTGCTCCATGTGCACGCTGGACCAAATTTCTTTTTGCTCTTGGAGAACAAAATGTCCCGGAGGCTGAGGCAGGGCAGGAGGAAAAGAATGGACAAACAAATTGACCTTGCTCAAAATCCTTGTTGAGTGCTGATAAAGGGAGATAGCGAGTTGTTCGTCACCAAGGGCGTGCGTGTGGTCCTTCCTGCAGGACAACAACATGGTCAGCCCCAGCACACAGTGCACCAGTGACTCAAACGGGGCTTGTTCTCTGGTGCTTCAGCCCCAAAATGAGCCCTGGCCGTGTCTGTTCCACGCCACGGGGATCGTTTGCAATGTTTCTTGCA